GGGGGACTGTTACGTTGCTGCTTCCTGCCACGGTGCTGCTTCCTGTCATATCACTGCTTCCGCATCGAGAGATGAAGCTTTGCACCAGTCGCAGTGAGTTATAGCAGTTTTGCCTATATATGGTTAAGGGTATCTAACCAATCAGATGCTGTTATTGCTTTGCTACATAAACCCTGGTTTGCTGACTAATAAAGGAGAACGATCGTACCCACATTGGGATGGTATAGTTACTGCCGTTTTCCGAGTTCCCACTCCTACATCGGGGCTCCCGGGGGGCTGGGATGGGCTTGCTCCCCTGCTCCCCCGTTTTTCTCAAGATTTGTGCTCTGACTTCAGGTCGCACTTCAGTGTGTATTGGGACCCCCAAACTGGACACAGTGCTGCAGGTGGGGGTCTCAGCAGGGCAGAGGCTCCATGTTAACCGACTCTCTCTCCCGACCAGTAGAGACTGATTTTCTGGACAATAAAATGCAAATTGTTATTCCAGAAGCTTAAGACCACCTCATTCCCTGTAGATTGACATGAACACCATCTTTTTTTTTTTTTCTTTCTTTTTTTTTTTTTTTTTTTTTTTTTGTGAGAACAATGTTTGGGATCTATAGATGTTTCCTGAGGAGTCCAGATGCTCCCGAGAAGCACCAAAGTGGTGCAAGCGCTTGTCTGAGCCAGGCTCCCCAGGTTGGGCTGCCAGTCAGAAGCCATTGAGCACTGACTGCCTGATGGTTCAACATGGAATAGCTCCTCATTTTAATGGAAAGGATGTCCTTTATAGAGCATATCAAGGGAAATTCTGACTGTCATGCCCCAAGGAGGCAGATTAGCGTCTGCTTTTGCTGTGTGTTTAGGTTTTTATTTAGTTAATTAGAAAGCCTCTTCTTTTATACCAAAATCTGTGTTTGTAGTTGGCACAGGAGAACTAACTGGGACACTGTTTTTTCCTACAAGTGTCACTGTTAGGCTTTTGTGGGATAAAAAGTAGCTTTATTTTGATCATTGTTCAGCTGGGTTGCTGATCATCGGATCAGTTGTATCTGTTTTAGAAGTACAATGTTGCTGCCAGAAAGGCTCAAGACAGCTCTCTAAGAAGGAGTTTCCGCTCAAAAACCCCAGATGAGACTAACACTGCTGCTTGTCTTTCTGTGGCCCTCCAGGAATCACACTTGTTGTGTAGCGGAGGAATGAAAGAGTCTCCGGGAATCTTTGCATGAAAGGTGCGTAACAAAGAAAAGACAAACCTGACATCATTGTGATTTGGGAGAGGAAGGGATGAGCTACCAGGTCCACTGTCAAGGGACTGTCATTAGGCACCAGAGTTAACGTCGACTTGAGAGGGCTCGGCCGAGCCCAGACCCCTTTGAAAGCAGTTGCAAGACCTGCTACAAGGTAAAGGCCAACTCCTCTGATGCTTTGGGCTCACATTGGAACCCAAAGCATTCCAAGCCCCCAAATGCAGCTGCCGCTGAAGTGCAGCAGCAGCAGCAGTAGCTGGTGCAGCACAGCACATGGCCATGGGGAGCTGGAGCAGAGGGAGGTGTCAGCCCAGGGTGACCCAGAACCGAGGTGCAGCAGGGAGCTCTGTGGGGCAGAAAGGGCAGAAAAGGAGCTGCTGTAGTGGCAGAAGATCGAGCCTAGCCTCCCTCGTGGCAGGTCAGACATCTCCTGGAGTCTCCCCACAGCTGCAGTGCCACCTCTGCAGCACAGCCTGGCCACCTCCAGCACCCACTGCTGGCATGGCCTGCCCCTCTGCACCCTCCCATGCCTGTGCCAGGGCTGGAAAGCAGTTGCTGTGCTAGGACGCACAGGGCACTTTGTGCCACACCATGCCCACCCTTCCCACCTGCAGCTGGGGCCAGTGCCCAGCATCCCTGGGGACTTGCCCAGAGTCCTGTTGCATGAACAATGCAGCAATGTGCTGCTGAGCAAGCATCGCTGGGGTGTCTGAAATGAGGTCCCCCTTGGTCAGAAAGTTCACTCTCGAACTGTCCCGTCCCTGCCTGAAGTGCACTGGTGGGAGTCCCTGCCACAGGTGCCCTCACGGAGGCATCTCTGGTTGGACCAGGAGACCCCCAGCATCCCCACGGGGCAGCCTTCATCATAGGCACCGCAGAGGCCATTCCCTGTGATTCGAAGATCCGGCAGGAAAACCTAACAGTACAACGTATACTGCTCAGCAGGGATTCTTCATTGCGGTGCCGGGCACACGGGGGATTTCTCCTCCAAACGTGCACGCCAGACACGTTTAGACACGTTTAGACACCTTTGCCCTATGATGCACGCAGAACAACACCGCTTAAGTTTT